GGGGGTGGTGATGGGGATGGGGATGGTGGTGATGGGCATGGGGATGGTGGGGATGGTGATGAAGATGGTGATGGGGATGGTGGGGGTGGGGGTGGGGATAGGGATGATGGGGATGAGGATGAAGATGATGATGATGGGGATGGTGGTGATGGGGATGGTGATGAAGATGGTGATGGGGATGATGTGGATGGGGTTGGGAATGGTGCTGATTCAGGTGTTGGGGGTGGTGATGGTGGTAATGGGGATGATGGAGGAGGGAGGGGTGCATGCACTCACACTTCTGTGGCTGTGGCCTCAATGCCCCCATGGGTGACCAGGGTCCAGTAACCCCCAATGCTGGAATAGAAGGTGCACTTCTTTGTCTCCTGGTCAATTTGCATCAGGAAGGTCTCATGGTCTAGTTCTTCATCCTGATTGGCTGAGACGTTGACCCCTGGAGGGAGGAGATGGGGAAGCCCCTCACGCCTCTCCTGAGTAGGGAGCAGGGGACCAGGAGGCATGCTTTTGGGGGCACCCTTGAAGCCAGAAGGGGATCTCATCTAGAACCCACTTGATTTGAGAAGATTTGGAAGGCACCTCTCGGAGAGCCTGGGAACCCTGCCTTGGGGCCATATGTGCCATCTGTGGACCCTGCACACTGTCCCCAAGGGAGTCATGACCTCCCTCCACACCCCCAGGAGTCAGGCCCTTCCACTTGGCACAGCCCCCACTCTCTGCTAATCAGTAATCAGCTGGTAATCTGCTTGCCCTGCTCTCTTGAGCCAAGGCTTACACCAGCCTCTATTTATAACTCACCCTAAGCTGCTGGGTGGGCACAGCCAGGAGCTAATGAGGATGGGGATGGGAATAGGGCATCCATGGGCACCAGGCAGGGGCTGGTCCCTGTTACTTCTGCAGCTTCCCCAACCACCTATGCTTGGGCTCCAGGAGCTATGGGGGAGGATAAGACTGCCCCTGCCTCCATCTGGGGTTCCTGCAAGGGGATGGAGGGACACCCATGCCCAGCGTGGGGACAGCAGGCACCAGAGCCTCTCCAGCATCTTCGGTGAATTGAGTCCCTGGCTCCTCCCACAAACCACTTCCCTGTTTCCATGGCAACCAGCCCTGGGAGTGGTGTGGCAGATTGTGGAGTTCCCCAAGAGGCCCAGGGACTCTGGCGGCCTGTCCAGCTGGAGGACCAGGAGGGAGTGGTGGGCAGAGCCCCATGGGGCCTGAAGATGGGGCCAGATCCCATCCCACGCTGTCCCGAGGGGAGGAGGGCGCCAGGCTGTGGCTAACCTAGAAAGGCTAGGACCTGTTGCCTTCTGCCAGCTCCAAGGCTGCCCCTCACGCCCCAGGCTGGGGTCTCCATCACACCCTTCACTGATCAGATGCAGAGAAGCAGCCAGCATGTCCCCGGAATCGTGGCTCAGCATTCGTGCTAGCGTCCCCACTACCACCAGCTCTAGATCCTGGCAAATACTGAGCTAAGAGCAGCTGCCACATGCCTGGAGCCTGCCGAGGCCCTGTGGAGGGGAGCATGGACATGGTGCCCAGGGCAGCAGGAGCCCTCAGGAGGCGGCACCCATGAGGGGCGTGGCAATGCTGTCCCTGCGGGCACTGAAGGAAAAGCAGGTGTGAAGCCACAGCATCGCAGGGCTCCCGCCACCAGCGGACCTCCTCGGCCAGCACTCTGGTTCCCCAGGGTTGCCCCACACCTCCTTCAGACAGGATGCAGTCCAGGCTGCCTCACTCGGCCATCTGCATCCAGGGACACGGCCTCAAAGCAGGAGAGAGCTGGAGTCCGCGTTGGTCTAGGCAACGCTGGTTTTAGGCCCCTCAAGAGAGGCTAGTTGAGCAGCTGGGGGACCCTCAGTTCTGGCCAATGAGCATGAAGCAATGTCTGCTAGGATTTAGGGGGGAAGTTTCCTACTCCTGAGAAGACACAAGCAGAGCCAGTGCCTCTTTTTCCTCTGGACTTTGTCCTGCCGGGATGTAAGGCCTGGAATACTGGCAGCCACATTATGACCGTGAGGGTGTCAGGCTGAGGTCAGAGCTGACCCTGGAGGGTGGCTTGGTGACAAGGTAAGAACAGAGGACTCCAGGGAAGCCCTGAGCTGGCGCCTGGCCGCCTGGGAGCCCACCAAGGCCAGGGCCTCTGCACTCCCGTTTTAGGAGATGATCGGTGTCACAGCTTGAGCCAGTCTGTGGCCAGTTTTCTGTTACCGGCAGCGTCAGACACCGCCTGCCATGCTGTCTGTCAGCAGAAATGAGCAGGCTCCAGCTGATGGAGACACCACGCAAGCTGAGTGCTCACAGCCCTCAGGGGAAGAGGCTTAGGGGCCCCCCAGCCAAGGAGACACCTCAATGAAGGCCCGCCGGGCAGTAGTGATGCTGTGGCAGCACCCATACTGCAGCTGCCTCGCCTGGGAATTCCAGCCCCAGGACTGAGATGCCACGCCCCGCTCCCACAACACCGGCCACCAAGTGAGGGCCTGAAACACCTGGTGGCCAGGTCATGGCCCTCAGCCCTATTGCAAGGCAGGTAGGGAGGCGACTGGCTGCCGTTTCCTGCTTCTAAAGCGGGAGATGGGTGCTGGTCTTTAGTAGGCGATTCTCCCCTCAAAGGGATGACGGGGCAGATGCAGGGTGGTTGAAGATTAAGAGACTGAAGAATGGTCCATACAGCCCCCAACCCTCCACCACCACCACCATCGCCATTGCCACTGCCACCATGCCCTCACGTCCAACTCCACACCACCGTCCACATCACACATCGCTGCCACCAATGCCACAGCCACTGCCATGCCCACCGTTCAGGTTTCATCACAAGCTGTCCACGTACGAATGCTTAAAAGTCCAATGTCTTCGGCTCTCGTGGAGGAAGAATTCTCACTGCCACGGTCCCACTTACCCCCTTTAACCACCTAAGGATTGCCACACATCCAGGCCCAGGCCAGCAGGCACTGCAGCTGGACTGTGGGCTGTGATGGGAAGGAGGGCCATGGCTGTGCATCCACAGTTGAACCCTCACTCCTGGGACCCTGTCACCGCTGGGACAGGCCCGAGGACACTTACTGCAGTGGCAGGGCCCCTGTAGCCACAGCCAGGTTCTGCTCTCGGTGCTCAGGGTGGGGCCTCTGCCATCTGGCCCCAGAGTATCAGTGTGTCCAGGGGGCCTGGACTTCCGTCAGGGCAGGGGCATGGTGGGCACCTGGGAGCTGCCGGGAGATGGGGAGCTCTCCTTGCCCAGCTGGTGCTGGTCTGGAGAGGCCCGAGTCGGGAGAAGGAGCTCCATGCACCCAGCTCTCCCCACCTCGCCTCTTCAGACCAGCTCAGAGCCCCTGGGATGTGGCTTGCCACTCTGGGGCACATGGAGCCAGGAGCCCAGCGGGTAGTGACTGCCTGGGTCAGGGTCTTCCCCCAGAGCTCAGCCTGCTTGTGGGGAAGGAGGAACTGCTGGGGTTCACCCCACAGGTGGCAGAGGGGATCACACAGGGAGGGTTCTGGTGACCTCAGCAATGGGGAGAGCCAGGCCACGCCCACTGAGCAGGGAGGCTCCTCCCCAACAAGAGTGAGGCTGTGTGCCCCAGTGTCCTCTAGCACTGGAGGTGACCTGAAGCCCCCACTCCTGGGGCTACATGAGGCCCCACTAGTCGGGCATGTGGTGGTGCCGTCCGCTTCCTACCACCGGCTCCCTGTCCTGCCCCGGCCCCTCCCAATTTCCTTTAAAGTCCAGAATGTGGGGTGAAGGAAGAGAATGGGAGAAATGGGGCTCCCACAGCCTCCTGCCCACATGCCCCTCGTGGTACCAGGCCAGGCTGTGGGCCCTCTGCCCCTGCTGGGCACTGCCCCGCCAGACCCACACCTCTCCAATCTCAGACTGCGCAGCTGCCCAGGGCTTGGCTGAGACATTGTCCAGCTGTCCTGAGAAAGGCTGGGACCCCTCGCCTCTGACCCTGAAGCCACCACCCCTCAGTGGGGGCCCCCGGGCATGGCCCGAGGCCCACCTGCCTGCACTGTGAGGGCCACACATGTCCCATCTGACCCCAAGCTCAGAACAGACATGGAACACACATAGACAGGATGCCACTCCCGGAGAGTCCCCCACGGCCTCCTCCCTGAAGCAAGGGGTCCCAGCAGCCCTCAGGAGGCCACCGTCTGCGCCCCCTTACCTTGGCGCACGGAGACGTAGCGGTGGTTGGCGGCCACCAGCACTACCTGCGGGTGACTCTCCTCCAGGTCAAAGAGCTCATCCTTGCCCGGCCGCGTGTTCCGGCCGGCCTTGAGGGTGCCAGCAGGCCCCACGGGTGCCAGGTAGCGGCCGTCGCAGTCCTTAAAGGCCAGCTTGCCTGCCTTGAACTCCAGTGTGTAGCGGGCCCGTGACTCGGGCTCCCAGACCAGGCGGCCATCGCTGCGCAGGTAGCGGCTGTCACAGGTCTTGAGGCAGTACTGCCGGCTCTGGAAGATGAGGGTGAGGAGGGCGTCCACACCCCAGGGCACGTCGCCGTCCGCTGCCATCTCGTCCTCCTGCAGGCACAGGTGCACGTAGCGCCGCCGGCTCACGCTCAGCAGGTGGGCCTGCGGGTGGATGGCCAGATGCACCGTCCACAGCTCCGCAGGGGAGATGGCCGTGGCGAAGCAGGACAGCCGGTCCTCAGTGCCCCCGAAAAAGCGGCCGTGCGGCTCTGACTGCAGCACCCAGCGCCCGTCCGGCTGTGGCAGGACCAGGAAGCGGCAGTCACGGCCCGGCCGCTCCGCCTCGCAGGCCACACGCCCGTCCTCTTTGGCCGACAGGTAGCGGCCCAGGTGGCTGCTGCGGAACAGCACTGCCGTGCCCTGCCCGGGGTCGGGCTCCAGCACCCAGGTCTGCTTCCTCTTGAGGCTGGGCGCTGACGCATTGACCTTGAAGCCGAAGCTCTCGGCTGTCAGGTAGCGGTCGGTGTCGTTGAGGAGGCCGAACTGGATCTTCAGCACCTGGTGCAGGCCATTGGTCGGCATCTTCAGGCTGGCCGGTCCCCGGAGGGGCCTGGGGCGCTCCCTCTGAGTGCTCACGGCCCCCACAGTCCCCCAGAAGCCTGGCTCCGCTCGGCTGGCCCGTGGCCCCCGGACCCAGCAGGCGTCATGGACCCGCTGCCTGCCCTGACCTGCCTCTGACCCGCGGCTGCAGCCGCCTGGGCAGCTCTTAGAGGGCCAGTGGGCAGCAGAGGGCGGGCGGACAGGGCGGATCAGAGACGTGCGGCTTAGGAGTGGCGCCTTTCATTCCCCTCAGCTTGGATTTCAGCCACTCCCGGATTGCAGGGGGCAGAGCCTGAGGGCCTGCAGGGCTGGGGAGCAGGGTTGACCCCCTTTCCTCACAGCGTGGGCCCGGCGCCCCTCCTCATGACCCTGCAGCTCTTGGCCTCTCTCGCTCCTGCCCACCTCCTCCGACCCCCCGTGTGGGCTCCCAGCCTGGCTGCCCCTTCCCGATGCCGAAGCCGCCCAGCACTGCCGCAACCCGATCGCTGGCTGCAGCCTCAGTGGCCGCTGGGCCCTCTGCTGGATCCAGTTACTTCTCTGAGTCCTGCTGCCAGGAGCCAAGCAAGGACCCCACCCACAACCTGCAGCCCAGGTCGCCTCCACCCCAGGCCAGCCTCTGGCCATGCTGCTCAGGCCCCAGCATGACGCCCACGGGACCACTGCCCACAGAAGAGGGTGGAACACAGCGCCTGTGCCGCCCTGCAGAAGTGGGTCAGAAGCCTCGGGCCGTCCTGGCCCCAGCACTCCTGTGTGCCCTGAGCAGGTCACTGGGCCCTGAGGCTGCCCCTTCCTCTGCCATGAGCTGGAGTGAAGCCACCTCATTTCACTTCGGGGTCCTTACGGGTATGGATCCAGGAGGCTGATGGGACGATGTCCACCCCATGCTCCCAGGGGTGGCCCTTGAAATCTGGGAGAGGATGAGGCCAGCAGGCTGGGAGAGACTGGAAGTGGTCACACCTGTCCCCAGCACCTCCCACCTTGGGCTGCCTGGCTACACCCCTTCCCCAGAGCCTGAGGGGCACTGGGCCCTGCTCACTGTGCCTGCCCGGCTCCCGCACCTGCCTCAGGGGCTTGGAGCCAAGGAGTGAAACCAGAGCTGCCCACCCTGGGCCAGGGCCAGCCTGGTGTCCTCTTCCTCATAACAGCGGGTGACCCTCTGGTCTCCCTGGGGACTGGAAACAGGGGCCACAGTCTTGGCCTGGAGTCACTCCCCTGTCCTCCTGGCCCCCCATCTCCTGAGTGGCCATCATAGGGTCCCCATATGGCAGGGGACTAAGCAAAAGCAAGGGGCCTGGCCTGGGCCCCTGGAGACCATGGTGGTGGAGTGTGCACCGACTCGGATTCTTCCTCCGTCAACCGTGCCAGGCATCTGCAGACATTGTCCCCAGTCCCCATGCTGAGGGGCCAGGGTGGAGGTGGAGAGACTCCCATGTGCAAATGCCCGCCACAGCACTGTACACGCTGCCACTCCAGGGGCTGGTCTCACCTCTCCCTGTGTGCTGGCCTTACCCACCTCTGTGACTCACACGAGCTTGAGGCCCCAACTGTGCGCGCAGCCAGGCCCCGTCCTAGGAAGACGCAGTCTGGGGTTGTGCCTCCTCTCCACAGACGATGAGCACACACACACTCGCCACAGTTTCCAGGGAACTGAGGACCCAGGCTTAGCACCCAAGCCAAGGAAGAGTCTCTGGTTTAGGGGCACAAGCCAGGGGTGCTGCCTGCACCTCAGTTTCCCCTTGGATCTTTTATATTTTCTTGGAACAGAGTCTCACTCTGTCGCCCAGGCTGGAGTCCAGTGGCACAATCTTGGCTCACTGCAACCTTTGCCTCCTGAGCTCAAGCAGTCCTCCTGCCTCAGCCTCCCAAGTAGCTGGGACTATAGGCACGTGCCACCACGCCCAGCTCATGTTTGCATTTTTAGCAGAGAAGGGGTTTTGCCATGTTGCCCAGGCTGGTCTCGAACTCCTGAGCTCCAGTTATCTGCCGGCCTTGGCTTCTCAAAGTGCTGGGATTACAGGCATAGCCACTGTGCCCAGTCTCCTGTTGGATTTTGAGGTACAGCTCAGTTGGTCTGAGTGATGGGGGAAGCCAGAGGGGCAGCTGTGCCCATGGTCCCCCCACCCCAGGCAGACACTGGCTACACTTCCATGCCCCAACACCCAGCCAGGCTTTGAAGGAACCCGGGGTGGCCTGTCCCTGATTGGCATGACAGCCTCATTAGCGCTGCCTAGGCTGGCAGGGTGCTTAGGCATCAGGTGCCTAGCAGGAGCAAGCCTGGCCGCCAGGCACTAAGTGGGCCTGACTCTGGGCAGCCTCTCAGTGGCAGAGCCAGAAGTGATGGTGGCTCATCACTTCTGGGGCCCAGAGCTCCACACTGGGTAGGGCTGCCGGGCACTGACCCAGGTGTGTGAGCTACAGGGGACTCTCGGGCCCCAGGGGAGGGCAACTGAAGGGTGGGCACCTGGGCCAGGCTTCCTCGAAGGGAGGATTTGCAGGGCTCCCAGCCCCTCCCACCTCCACCTCAGGACCCCAGGCTCCTGCCCAGCCACCTGCCGGGGTCATGTTTCCTCTGGATCCCCAGCAAGTTTTCTGGCACAGAGCAGGTCCTTACTAAGTGCCTGAGGTTTTTGACTCTAGTTCTTTATTATTGAGATGGAGTCTCACTCTGTTGCCCAGGCTGGAGTGCAGTGGCACAATCTTGGCTCACTGCAACCTCCGCCTTCCAGGTTCAAGTAATTCTCCTGCCTCAGCTTCCAGAGTAGCAGGGATTACAGGCACCCACCACCACACCTGGCTAATTTTTGTTTTTTTAGTAGAGAGGGGTTTCACTATGTTGGCCAGGCCGGTCTCGAACTCCTGACCTAAGGTGTTCCACCCACCTCGGCCTCCCAAAGTACTGGGATTATAGGTGTGAGCCACCATGCCCAGCCATCTGGTTCTTTTT